TGAAAGTGCAATACACTCCACTCAATCCTCACAACCAGTCATAGAGACAAGCCGAGCAGATCACATCCAGGAAACAATGAAACGATGATAGCCCAAACACAGTTACACACTGTTTATTAAACTCGAGAGTCTCAAAATGTCAGGATCACTCCAGAACTACAGTGCGCTGCTCAGAGTCGAGCAGCGCTTCACTCTCCAACCCTGATTAACACCCGTAACACCCCTTGAGCCCCTGAAACATCAAGCGCCACCCAAATACAGCCTCCTAGGGGCAGCGCCACCCTGAAACAGGCCTCTGAGGCCAAGCGCCACTCAGAGGATGAAGAAGGCGACCAGCACCACAGTATCTGATGATGATGAAGTGTCGGGAGGCTTCCCGGGTGGAAGCCTGCAGCAGCGCCACCAAACCCTGATCAGATGACCTATGAGATGAAGAAGCTGCAGCTATGGCTGCAGCGCAAACCCTCTGGGACCCCACTCCGGAGGAGGGTCCAGCAGGGCACCAATCTCTCTCGCCTCCAGCAGACCTCGATAACCCAGACCTCTGTCAGCCCCTGCGTGCTGGCAGAGTACAGCGCAGGTCCCAGCTATGGCCTGCGCTCCGAAGGTCTGGCTATGCCCGTCTTCCTCCACGCTGAGCCGTCACCACCTCCGGTTCACACGCAGCGCAGCAGCGATGTACACGGTACCAACTGCCAAAAGCCYTGAACCGATGTGCCCATCCTACTTCTAGCCTACACCGACCTAGACCGGACTGACTGACGGACCGGYACCGTATCTGTTTCGGCCTCTCGGCCTCTACCGGACCCGGCTATAGGCTATAGGACCGTCTATTCAGAATAGGCCCATAGGGCCTGTCTGTCTAGGGGTAGCCCGGGCCTRCTATCCGCAGTTAGGGTAGGTGTAGGGAATCAAGTTAGTACCGGGCCTGTATTTTTCCCGGATTTGCAGATATGTCCCTCAAGAATTTCCCTCACAGGTAGGTCTCTCGGTTAGCCCTCAGCCAAACAAAATTANACCGGGCCTGTATTTTTCCCGGATTTGCAGATATGTCCCTCAAGAATTTCCCTCACAGGTAGGTCTCTCGGTTAGCCCTCAGCCAAACAAAATTACGAATCTGTCCTGCCTATAGTACAGCCTCGACAGAGAGAGGCTACAGGCACTCAGAAAACAGCAAGTCATTGCACCTGGCCGGGTATGAAGAATGACTGCATAGAATATGTTCGCAGTTGTAAAGTCTGCTAGTGGAATAAGACTACTACTCGTGCCCCACTAGGTCTTCTCAGACCCTTACCTATCCCTGATCAGCCCGGAGATTCAGTGTCCATCGACTTCATGGACACGGGCGTCAAGAGTAGACATGGCAAGAGCCAAGTCATGGTGATAGTCAATAGATTCAGTAAGTATGCTGTTTTTGTTCCTTTGCCTTCAGAGGCACGGACGGAGTTAGTCATTCGTAAATTTTTTTATCATTGGGTCAGTGAGCACGGGGTCCCATTGTCTATAGTTAGTGATAGAGACACCCGGTTCAGGAGTCAGAACTGGCAGGAGTTGATGAAAGTCTATGGCTCTAAGTTGCTAATGTCATCTGGCCGACATCCAGAGACCAACGGTCAGACTGAGCAAATGAATAAGATCCTGCAGCAAGTTCTGAGAATGTACATTAGACCAGATCAAGTTGACTGGGACGAGATGCTTCCCAAGATAGCCAGTGCTTACAACAATAGTGTGGATCTGTCTACGTGCCGCACTCCCAACAAACTGCACAAGTCCTTTAGACCGCGCAGACCATTTGAGGGACTTAACCGGGATCAGATCTACAGGCTACCGCCCGGTACTAGCGAGTTCGCTTTACAGCACGAGAAAGAACTAGCTACTGTTGTAGAGAACCTCAGGAAGGCCCAGCATAGGATGATAGAGCAAGCCAACAAACATCATCACCCCTCACAGTTTCAAGTAGGCGACTTAGTCTCGGTCAGCGCGAAAGAGTTTGCTCCTGAGGAGAACATCTCGCAGAAGTTACTGCCTAGGTATAGAGGGCCATGGCCGGTTCTAGAAGTCAAGGGTGGAGAGGATGGTCCGTCCTATACCGTTGAGATTCCACTACACCTCCACACCTACCCAGTTTTCCATGCGTCAAAGTTGTTGCCATGCACGGTGAGTGATCAGTTTCCGTCGAGACGATCCATGATCCCACCAGACATGGATGGAAGATATGACATTGGCGGCATTGTAGGTGAAGATGTGTTTAAAACAGGAGGTAGGGGTCGTCCTCAGAAACAGTACAAGGTCCGATTTGCATATCAGGAACCAGAAGACGACCGCTGGTACACCCGAACTGAACTTCTAGAGACAGCTCCTGATATAGTCAAGGCCTATGAAAGAGAGAGGAAAGGTTAAGGTCCTGCCTTGGACTAAAATTTTCTCCGAGGACCTCGAATTTAGGCCAGCGGGAGTGAAACGGTATTCACCAGTTGCAGTAGCTGGTGCAGATCCCAGGGCTCGATCCCTAGATCCCCACCTCACCTGTGTACAGTACCTGTGTCAACCCGTAGAGTTGAACCTGCGACCTGTAGGGTCGCCAGTGGTAAGTAGGACGTCGGAGGTTAGGGGGTATAGGGGATTCGAACTATAGACCTGTTGGGTAGGAGTCGAGGCAGTCCAGCGGTGGTAGCTGTAGACTGTCCGAAGGGTCAAAGTCGTAGCTGCTACTTACCTGAAAGGGCACAGTCGTAGCTGCTACAGTACCGAAAGGCCAAGTAGATGTTTTGAGAAGTGGCCTTTCGGAGAGTCAGTCCACTGTACGTCTAGGCAAGTGGGCTAGTGGTGGAAGTCCACCATGCAGAGTCAGCAGTCCCAGTCCAGTCAGTCCGGTCCAGTCAAGCAAGTACCGTCTGGGACTGTGTGCACCGTGGGCCAGGGAAACAGGGCAGACCAACGAATCACAGAAGTATAAATCAAGAGGCCGCGCACAGCCATTCATTCATTCCTGCGGAAGCCATGCGGAAGTGCTGCCTCGGCGTCTTGTGCGAGGAGGTCTGCAGTAGGCCCGAAGCTGAAGTGGGCGAGAGTGACGAAGTAGCCATAGCGATAGGGTAGAGGCAGCTAGCGCTGCCATAGCTGTAGCTTATGGTGTAGTGTGTGTGTGATGCGCGAGTGTTCAGAGTGTCACGTGTGGGATATCCAGGGTGATCCAGTGTGTGTGAACAGTGGGTTGTTGGGCGCTGAGTTGCCATAGCCAGTGGAAGTGAACTCTGACCTGGAAGCCATATCTCTGAGT